TGTGTTAGTCAGGATGCTCTCCATCTCCTGACCTTGTGATCTGCTCACCTCAGCTACCCAAAGTGCTGGAATTACAAACGTGAGCCCCCGCGTCTGGCCAAATTTTCAAATTATTTTTGAACACCATTTTTATGGTTAAGCAAACCCTATTTTCTAAAAGAATTTGAGTATGCCAAGCAAAATATGTTTCAGGAACGTAGCTCAAAAGCTTGGTAATGCAAAATTCTCTGCAATATAATTTATATAATTGAGGCAAAATTCACATAGCGTAAAATTAACCATTTTGAAGTGAACAATTCAGTGGTATTTAGGAGATTCAGAACTCATGCAACTATTAACTCTGTCTAGTTCTAAAACAGTTTCATCACTCCAAATAGAAATCTGAATCCATTTAGCAGTTACTCCCTATTCCTTATTTCCCTTAGCCCCTGGCAACCACCAATCTGTGTGCTGGCTTCAAAGTACCTACTTTGAATATTCTACACAAATGGAATCATACAATGTGTGATTATTTGCGTCTAGCTTCTTTTTTGTAGCATAATGTTTCCAAGATTCATCTGTGTTGCAACATGTGTAAGTAGGTCACTACTTTTCATGACTACATAATATTCCATTGCATGCATATACAACAATTTGTTTACCTATTCATAAATTGACAGACATTTAAGCTGTTTTTCTACCTTTCGGTATTACAAATACTGCTGCTGTGAACATATACATACATGTATTTAAGTACCTGTGTTCAGCTTTTTAAAGTATATACCCAAGAGATATGCTGGGGAATAGTGTAATTATGTGTTTTTAACCATTTGAGGAACTGTCAAGTGTTTTCCACAGTGATTGAAGCATTTTATATTCCCATCAGAAATATATGAGGATTCCGATTTATTCACATTTTTGCCAACACTTACTTTCTTTTTTTGTTGTTGTTAGTAGTGGGGGTTAGTTTCTTTTTAAAAAATACAATTATCATAGTAAGTGTGAAGTGGTACTTTGTTGTGGGTTTTCATTTGCATAAAATGACATGTTTTCATATGCTTTTTGATTGTTTGTGTATCTTCTATATCTTCTTTGGAAAAAACGTGTATTTGAGTCTTTTGCCTTTTTTTAAAATGGGATTTATTTTTGATGTTAAGTTGTGTAATCCTTTATATATTCTGGAAATAAGACTTTATATGTTCTGGAAATAAGAAAAAAGATGTGATTTGTAAGTATTTTCGCCAGTTATATGTGTGTTTGTTTTTTTTTTAAACTTTCTCGATAATGTTCCTTGATGCACAAAAGTTTTTTTTTGTTTTGTTTTGTGTGTGTGTGTGTGTGTGTGTGTGTGTGTGTGTGTGTTTGACAAAGTTCAGTATCTCTATTTTTTCCTCTGCTTCCTGTGCATCTGGTGTCATATCTAAGAACCCATGGCCAAACCCAAGATTATAAATATTTACCTCTAGTTTTTATCTAAGCGTTGTTTACAGGTTTCAATTCTTGTATTTAGAAAAATCATTGATCCATTTTGAGTTAATAGTTGTGTATGAAGTGAATAGTCTCACTTAATTCTTTTACATATAGATTTCCATTTGTTCCAGTGCCACTTGTTGACAAGACTATTCTTTCTTATTGAATGATCTTGGCATTCTTGTTGAAAATCAATTGACTGTAGATGTATGGATATATTTATGAATTCTCAACTATATTTATTGTTTTGTATTCCTCAGTACACTTTTGAGTGCCTGACTTTTCCATGCAGCTATTTACCCAGACTTTCCTGGCAAGTTTTTGGCACTCTCTTGTATGCCTCAGGTGGTTGTGGGCTATCCCCTGCCTACAATGTTTCTTTGGAATGCCCACTGCTTTTCTGCCTTGAGTGATTTCCAAGTTTGATGAAACAAGGATAAGTACCATGTGTCACTCCTTCATGCAGTCTCCAGACAGATTAGAATAGACCCCCACATTCTTTGTGAATAAGGATAGCTCTGCTCCCTCCAGAAACAAAGACCATGGTGTCACACTGGGAATGTTCACTGATGTTTTCAAGGCCGCTCTGAGCCAGTGAGATGGTAGGATAAAGACAAGTCAAAATGCCCCAAAGTTTTTCTACCATATTTGGTCTACCTTTTTTTAAAAGAAATTCTGCCTTCATCCAGTTGCTATAAACCTGTGACTGTTTTCCAGAGTTTTGTCAAATTTGCTTTTTAAGGTCCCCGCTTAATTGCGATTTTTTTGATGTGATTTTTTGATCTCTTGGAGCTGTCTTCTCCATTTCTGCTGACATCACTCCTGGGAAATGTATTTTCAATCCTATATAAGTAGCAGTGGTATTGATGCTTTGAAGAAGCTTATATATTTTTAATACGTAAACTTATAAGGTATATTGCATTACTAAATGTACCCCAATGTATCCTGGCCTGATAGCCTCCATCTAGCTGGTAATAAGACGTTTTGTGAGCTATTTCTTGGATTTAATAAAAGGATGCACATGTATACCCACAAACTAGTATTTCAGCTATGAGTCCCAAAATGCACTGCCTGTTTTTCTCCCCTTCTACATTGCCCAAATATACCACATAACTGCCTACAACATTGAATCATAAGGCCTACATATTACATAAAAACTACCTCCATAATAATCACCAGATAATACACAATTAGCTGTTTGTGTTCAAAATATCCCTAAGTATGGATATACTGTATACTATATTGTATACAGCATATAGTATTTTTGGAATAATACATATAGTATTATATATTCTAAATAGTATATATAGAATATATATAGAGAGTGTGTGTGTGTGTGTGTATATATATTCCAAATACTATGTACAATTGGGCGGCAACATAGATTATTTATAAGAAACCATTCGTTGTCTCAAAGAATTCTGAATATGCTAAGGAATAATGGATCTTTTCTCTTGAAATAATCAAAAACAAGATATATATCGTTCGTCCTGGAATGAATTAAGCAAAGTTTTGTTATGTTTTGTTTCCTGGAAGGTAGTAAATCAACTCAGTTATCACAGACAGTTTTGTAATTCATCGTAAATATGCAATATACTTTTTAGTAATTTTCTAATTTAATGTACAATGAGGAATATAGAGAATTAACTGAGAAAAGAAACAAAATGAAAATGGTAACTCAATTTTCCTTCTTTCTCTTATTATACTATGGCTAGGTTTTCAGATTTCCTGTTTCTTAAGATACTTGTGAATAAGCCTCAGAAGAAATATGTGTCTTACTTTTCTCATCTAATGTCATTTAAAAATGGGATTATCTGGACCCTCTATAGTGTAGGAAGCTGGTCCAAACTTAATTGTTGTGAACATGCTCTGGGAACTGGTTTTCAATTATTTTGACAAAGCATTTATAAAATGTACAGGAAGCAAAAAAAGAAAAAACAAAAACTGTTTTTCATGGGCATGCCATATGTTCAGAACTTTTCAAAAAATCCATGTCAACCATTACAACATAATAAACAAAATGGAGTAACTGTGATTCTTATTTTGATTCATTGGCTTTGACTGCACTCAACTACCATATGTGATATGAATTGTTTAAATTTCCTTTACAATAAAAGCACTTACCTTAAAAACACTTATTCATCAGAAACAATTTATATTTTGGAGTTGATAACTTTTTTTTTTTTTTTTTTGAGATGGAGTCTCGCTCAGTCGCCCAAGCTGGAGTGCAGTGGCACGATCTTGGCTCACTGCAAGCTCTGCCTCCCGGGTTCACGCCATTCTCCTGCCTCAGCCTCCCGAGTAGCTGGGACTACAGGCGCCCGCCACCACGCCCGGCTAATTTTTTGTATTTTTAGTAGAGATGGGTTTTCACTGTGTTAGCCAGTTTGGTCTCAGTCTCCTGACCTCATGATCCACCCACCTTGGCCTTCCAAAGTGCTGGGATTAGAGGCGTGAGCAACTGCGCCTGGCTGGACTTGATAAATATTTTAATGTCTCATTATATTCAGATAAACTCTCCTACACAGTGGATGCTTGTTAGGCTCAATTAAAATGTGTACAATATCAGATTGTAAAATCTAAGAAATAAATATAGAACCTACATTAGAAAGCCATACAAATAGCCAAACTGTTATAAATTACATGGGTGAATAAAGTCTTAAATATTTGGAAACATTTATTCTGAACAGTGAAAAGGTAAGGAATAAGCATTAAAAATATTCTAAGTGCAATAATTTCCCCAAGTGCTGTTAATCTCTCATTATACATCAGTTAAATTAAGAAACAGCTAAATTTCCAAAGAGTAACAAAGTACTAAAATTGTTAGTGTAGCCACGAAAGGGGTTTCAAACAAATTGTAAAATGAGAACATGAATTCTAATATACTTTTCTTTAAAATTGTAAAATATGCAGAATGATTCTTCTTCTGAAACAATAATATATTTAAATGTGGTTATAATAAAGTATAAAAAGAAACATTACATAAAATATAATTTCTGTAATTTAAAAAATTCTATTTTCTAATTTTGTACAAAGGGCCTCTGTTATTTTAAAATTAAGAAAAAAGAAAAACTTTTTTCCATAAAGTTTTTCAGAGATAAAATTTAGATGCGTTTTTGCATTTTCATAATAGACATATATATGATGTAAATTGGGAGGTGATATAGATTGGTTATAAGAAATCATTCCTTGTCTCAAAGAATTCTGAGACTGATAAGGAATAATGAAGTCTTTTCTCTTGAAATAATCAAAAACAAGATAGATACTGTTCTTCCTGGAATGAATTAAGCACAGTTTTGTTGTGTTTTGTTTCCCGGAAGGTAGGAAATCAGTTTAGTGTCAGTTTCATGGCTACTGCTAAGAAATTTGACAGCCTTAAAAGCCATTTTGAATTTTCAGGATGAATCTTAGTATTATATATATAAAATACTCAAGCTATGATTACTGAGAGGGGGAAAAAAGCTATCAAGAGTAATTCACTATACTAAGAAGACTCTCCTTGTGACATAATATCTCTTTTTGTCTTATTTGTTTGTTTGTTTTGTCACTAGCACGGGGATTCTAACCTTAGGGAAAGCACTGGACAGGGAAAGCACTGATCGCTACATTCTGATCATCACAGCTTCAGATGGCAGGCCAGATGGGGTGAGTATGCTCTGTGGGAAATGGTTTTAAAGATAGTATTAAGGCAACTGAGAGAGTCTTAAACAATTTATTACATACATGAATTAATGTTTTTCACGTGGAGCAACTTCTTATAATTACTAGAAGTGGTGCTCTTTTCTTCAACAGGCTATTTATACATGCACCTATACTCTGAATTTGTTAATGTGCTGCAACCTTTGACTTGACAGAGCAGATACTTGAGATCAGCATTCTCACCTAATTTGTAGGGAAAATGAAATCTACTTTATTCTAACAGGTATTCCATTGTGTCTGTCATTTGCACTGCACCATGAAATGTATTCTGGCAGTTTATTATGTTGGAACCTGTTTCACTTAGCATCGTTTTTTTAAGGGTCAGGGAGGAAGAGTGGATTTTGTGGATAAATATCTTCAAGCACTTAGGAAAGTGATGTGCTTGATTCCACAGGCATTTGTAAGTAGCAGTAAGAATCCTAAGTAATTTTTGGTTATCTAAGTAGTTTAAATGGGCTTATAATTCCAAAGAAGATAAATTCTACTTCCATTGGACCTAAAATTCACTTTTAAAAGTTAAAAAAAAAAAACATTGTTAGACATTCTGAACTGCTTTAAAATCACTTGTCTGTATTATTTGAACTATCTCATCCACAACCACCAGCATCCTGCTTTCTATGTACTGTAATATTACCTTTGTTAATAATTATTTTCACCATTTCTACGCCATGTGTTAGGTGATTCTTTTTTTTTTTTTAATCAGGTGTTTATGTGTCAACTCAATGCTATTGTCTAGAAATAATTCCAAACCCATTACAGATTGATAAGCAAGGCTCATTCAATTTAAATATCAGCATATCTCCTGGTTCCTTGAAATGATTTCTTTAATCTATATAATACATTGGCTGAAAGTATACAATAATGTACTCTTCACATTTATTTTAGGAGGATTTCTGAGATTTTATTACAATAAAAAATATAAAATTGATGCCCGAATAGTTTTCTCATCTTAAAAAAGTGAGATAAATGGAAATAATTAAATTTGGTAATTGCAATCTGTCCATAGTAAGCTATATAACATTTTTGATATATTACATAAATAAACATATATATACATATAATAAAATATACAGAACAGTTTTAGGAAACAGTGAGGATAATAGCAGGTACTAATATGATAGAAAAGTAAATAAAACCTATGGTTAATTTTTATATAGGCAATGCACCTAATTATTATTATTATTTTTTGAGATGAAGTTTCACTCTTGTTGCCCAGGCTGGAGAGCAATGGAGACATCTTGGCTCACTGCAACCTCTCTGCCTGCCAGGTTCAAGCGATTCTCCTGCCTCAGCCTCCCGAGTAGCTGGGATTATAGGCAGGTGCCACGACGCCTGGCTAACTTTTGTATTTTTAGTAGAGACAGGGTTTCACCACGTTGGCCAGGCTGGTCTCAAACTCCTGACCTAAGATGATCCACCCGCCTTGGCCTCCCAAAGTGCTGGGGTTACAGGCATGAGCTGCTGCACCCAGCCTGTCCTAAATTATTATAGTATGTCTGTGTCAGATGTATATAAAGAAGTCAGTGAGAGAGTTTCTAGAGGAAGTAATTGAAGAACTTGACTTATGATGGAAGTTTAGAGGGTAACTCAGCTAGGCAATAAGTGAGAGAAAATATTCTAAGGAGGAGAAGGAGAAATTATTTGGCATAGAGTAAGAGGTATAATTACAGTGAAGTGAAATTAAGAAAGAGCATTCAGGTCAACCATTAGAATAGGAAAAAACAAAAAGATAATACATAGCTTTGAAATATGTCACATTATAGATCAGAAACTAATGGCAGTAATATTAGCTAGAACATTTTAACTCTGTCCTTAAAATTTCTTAGACAAGGAAACAGATGGAAGGAAAATAGTCACAATCTACTGATAATATCTTTGCCTACTTAAAACCAAAATAAGTTCTGGTTAAAATTAGCAGTTTTGTTCTCTCTAGTTCATTGTTCAGTAATTTATTTGTATATTTTAATTCTCCTTGAACAGGACACTTAGCATTTCTAGGTCCTCATTCTAACATTCTTATAATCACTCAGGTTTCATTTCCCTTTAAAATTCTGATTTTTTTTGTAGTCCCAGCTACTCAGGAGACTGAGGCAGGAGAATGGCATAAACCTGGGAGGCGGAGCTTGCAGTGAGCCCAGATTGAGCCACTGCATTCCAGCCTGGGTGACAGAGTGAGACTGTCTCAAAAAAAAAAAAAAAATTCTGATTTTTTGAGTAAATTTTGTGTTCATTTCTAAAGTTTTAATGAGAATATCAGTAGAGTATAAAGCATTTAGATTTCAAACAAAAGTTTATTCAGTTAATTTCATCATTTATATAATTTTAGGGATATACTTATATGTAGGCATACACAGTGGGATCCTGAAGAAAAAAAGTGATTATATAAAAATAATATTCTCATGTCTTAATAGCACTTTTCTTATCTAAATATTTAGTAATTACAGTAAAATTAATCTTTTAAACTTAAGAATCATGTGGTTTAAAACAAATATTTGATAAACACAGACAGATGGATGGAATTTATTTAAATCAAAATGGTGACAAGCAATTTGTGTGAAACAAATTGCCAGGATGAGTTTGAAAATTTTATCATGAGAATACGCTTTTTCTACCACCTCAAAATGGGCATGAGGGAGATAGGAGGTCACATTCTGTTGGTCATTGTGAGCTTATTTGTAGACGATATGAAGAAAGTTTGATTTGACTTTCCTTTTCTAAGTTTACTTTGTTAATGATAGTTGAAAAATCTGTATAACTTGCATATCTTGTGTAATTATTTTTTTAAGCTATCAGGGTACAGATAAAACTATACTTTTTAGATTCTAATTTTTTTGAAGATTCAGACCAAGGTGTCTACTTTTACCGTTTATATTCAACATAGTATCAGAGGTCCTCATCAGAGGTATTAGGCAAAAAAAGAAAGAGACAGAGATAGAGAAAGATCCAATTTGAAAAGGAAGAAGTAAAGCTATCTCTGTTTAGAGGTGATATGAGTTTGCATACAGAAAACTTTAATGACTCCATACACACGTTTCATGTTTGCACACATGTACACAAATGTTGGAACTAAGAAATTTTGCAAAGTATCAGAATAAAAAATCAGCATACAAAATCATTTGCATTTTCATAGATTGAAAATGAATGAGCTAAAACTATTAAGAAAACAATTCAATTTACAATAGCATCAAAAAGAATAAAATACTCAAGAATTAACTTAACCAGGGAGATCAAAGACTTGTATAACGAAAACTACCAAACATTTTTGAAATAAATTAAATATAACTAAATTGAAATGTATCCCATGTTCATGGATGGGACGACTTAATATTGTTAAAATGTTAATACTCTCCCAAGCAATCTACAGATTCACTGCAATTTCTATTAAAATCCCAATGGTGCTATTTGTAGAAATATTTTTTTTTTAATAATCAAACGTATTCTAAAACTTATCCTTAAAATTTCAAGGGACCCCAGATAGCCAAACAGAAAAGTAAATAACAAAGCTGGAGAACTTGTACTTCCTGGTTTCAAACTTACTACAAAGCTATAGTACTCAAAACAGAGTAGTACTAGCATAAAAACAGAAATACAGGCCAATGTAATTTAATAGAGAATCCCAAAAATAAACATTAACTTAATTGGTCAAATAATTTTTAAGATGGGTGCCATGATAATTCTACATGCAAACTAATGCAGTTGGACCCTTATCTAACATCATATGCAAAAACAAACTCAAAAGTGATTCATTACCTAAAATGAAAACTAAGTCTATAGAACTCTTAGAAGAAAACATAAGGCAAAAGCTTCATTACATTGGATTTGTCAGGGATTTTTTAGTTATGACCCCAAAAACACAGACAACAATAACAAAAAGTAGACAAATTGGAATAGGAAGAGCTCCAGCCTCAAGCTCCCAATGTGAGCAACACAGAAGATGGGTGATTTCTGCATTTCCAACTGGGGTGCCAGGTTTATCTCACTGGGGCATGTCAGACAGTGGGTTCAGGACAGTGAGTGCAGCCCACTGACTGAGAGCCAAAGGAGGGCGAGCCATTGCCTCACCTGGGAAGCTCAAGGGGGAAGGGAATTCCCTTTCCCAGCCAAGGGAAACTGAGACACACAACACCTGGAAAATTGGGTCACTCCCACCCTAATACTGCACTTTACCAAGGGTCATAGCAAATGGCACACCAGGAGATTACATCCCACGCCTGACTCAGAGGGTCCCATGCCCACGGAGCCTCCCTCATTGCTAGCACAGCAGTCTGAGATCTAACTGCAAGGCAGCAGCAAGGCTGGGGGAGGGGCACCCACCATTGCTGAGGCTTGAGTAGGTAAACAAAGCGGCAGGGAAGCTCGAACTGGGTGGAGTCCACTGCAGCTCAAGGAGGGCTGCCCTTCTCTGTAGACTCCACCTCTGGGGACAGGGCATAGCCAAACAAAAGGCAGCAGAAACCTCTGCAGATTTAAATGTCCTCGTCTGACAGCTTTGAAGAGAGTAGTGGTTCTCCCAGCACAACATATGAGATCTGAGAACGGACAGACTGTCTGCTCAAGTGGGTCCCTGACCCAGCCCGAGTAGCCTAACTGGGAGACACTCCCCCCAGGGACAGACTGAGACCTCACACCCCACACGGCCGGGTGCCCCTCTGAGACGAAGCTTCCAGAAGAATAATCAGGCAGCAACATTTACTGTTCAGCAATATTCACTCTTCTGCAGCCTCTGCTGCTGATACCCAGGCAAACACGGTCTGGAGTCAACCTCCAGCAAACTCCAAGAAACCTGCAGCTGAGGGTCCTGAATGTTAGAAAGAAAACTAACAAACAGAAAGGACATCCACACCAAAACACCATCTGTAGGTCACCATCATCAAAGCCCAAAGGTAGATAAAACCACAAAGATGGGGAAAAAAACAGCAGAAAAGCTGAAAATTGTAAAAATCAGA